CCGCCTTTTCCTCCAAATCTTACAACCGGTAGCACTTTATAACTTGGTTTCGATTTTTGAATGTTTATCATTTGTTTTTATCATTGTAATTCTAAATTGTCTATAATGTTTAAATTTTGATATCCCTGTACCTCTGATCTATAACTTATAACAAAAATATAACAAGAACGAATCTACTCTGGGTGCCTGGGTGTGCATAACTTTGTCTCAGAAATACAGTTCGCAATTTGGGCGAGGGAAACATTCATTCATACTTTGCTGCAGCGATCTACAATACTTTTCCCCTTTGTTTTCTGTGGCTCTTGTACCCAGGGTACAATGAATCTAGCGTTTTCAACTGCAAATCTTATGGCATACTAACCGCTTTTGCTCCAGATATCGAATATCGCATTGCCTTGTTTGCCTGAGTTTTAATTGATTTTATTGCTTTTACAAAACTCCCATTATTATAAAAAAACAATTAGCAAAATATTTAACTTCACTGTTAATCTCAATGTTTTTACTTCTACACTTAAATTCTAGCTTTTTATATCATCATGCGAAAAGCAATGTGTGAAAATCTATGTCTAGCAATGGAGTTTCGATTCAAGCTTGGCAACATTGTTGTTAGTTTATTTTGTTTACTTATCCTCATCAAAGAATCAAATTTATGATTTAATGGATATCGGGTAAAATAATCAGGTATGTACTCAATTATTCAATCTTTCAAAGCATGGCATTGAAATATTGCACGATCCTCGTCTCCAATTTCGTTTGAGAAACACAAATCACAATTTCGGTGATTATAATCAATGTTTTTCCATCGCCCAGTTTCTACCGGTAGCCTATGATTCAAAGTTCTGAACCAACAAAGATATTGTGATAAATTGGTTGGTAATACATTAAAGTAATTCTCACTTTTAAAACATGATTTTATACGTTTATACATTTTGTGTGATATTTCCATATCAGAATTTCATTTTTGAATGAATAAACTTTCAGGGCTATTAAACACATGCATGTTCCAAATAAAGGACAGCCCTGAGCTATCAAGAATATATTTCACACTCGTAAACCATTTGATATTTTAGTTTCTGACTAAAATACTATACAAGATATTTGTTAGTTTGCTTTCTTCGCCTCTAACTATGTTGGCCCAAAAACCAACCATTCTTAATTGTATCGTTATGGATACTGGTCATCTCCCCAATTCGCCATATACCATATAATTTGGAGTGGACTTTTTAATGTTCAAAATTAATTTGTAATACTGCAGTTCTTGTTGATCTAGCAGGTTTGTTTTTTCCATTCCTCATGGAATTTTAATCACGAAAATTTACAAAATTGTAAACAAAATTGCTTTCTTCTTTTCCCGATTTTCCCTTCTTTTGCTCTGCTAAAAAGGAGGTGGGGGAGGGTCATGCTCAAAGTATCTTTGGGTTCGATGCGTCTGAATGTCCAAAGTTGTTTTCTCTGTGATAGCTTCTCACGAGAAGCAAAATGAATTTGAGTGGGGGCTTATTCGAGGGGGGGGCTTATTAGAAGGGGGGTATTTCAATGTTTGGTATTTTCCTCAAAGGTCGACATAGAAACGACAAAATTTTCTCAATGAAATAAGCCTTATTCGAGGGGGGCTTATTTGCAATAATGATTTTTAGGTGGAGGCTTATTCGAGGGGGAGGGGGCTTATTCGAGTGTGGGGGGGGGGCTTATTCGAGGATTTAAGGTATTCGAAAACTTGATAAGTCAGCCTAAATTTTTCAAAATTCGTGTCTCTTGTTAGTTTTTATGTAAATTCGGGTATCGCGGAGAGAAATGATTGTCCAGTGCTTCACAGATAGCAGATAGCAGAGTGG